CTCAAGGGAGGGAGGCACTGAGCTATTAGGAATTGTTTTAGTGGCCTGAACTTTGGCCCCACAGGTTCTATTTAACAGAAAAAGATTCCCTAGAGAAACCTCAGGCTGTGTCTGTTTGGAAAGCGGCCAACATCACTGACGTCCTCCTGGGTGACGAGGGGCTGAGAGGAACTGACTTCCCCACCCCACAGTGATGTTTTAGGATCAGGTCCCCCAAAGGGCGACACTGAGGCCATCTTTGCCTCTTCTGCTAAAAAATATAGCAAACATGGTGGCTCATGCCTGTAACAGAAGCTCTTTGGGAGGCTGAGGCAGGAGGATTGCTTAAGCCCGGGAAGTTGAGACCAGCCTGGGCAACATAGCAAGATCCCATTTCTGCCAAAAACAGACAAAACAGCGAGGCATAGTGATGTGCACCTGTGGTCCTAGCCACTTGACAGGCTGAGGAAGGAAAATGTTTGGGGTCCCGCGTGGTGGCTCACACCTGTAATCCCACCACTTTGGGAGGCTGAGGCAGGTGGATCACAAGGCCAGAAGCTCAAGACAAGCCTAGTCAACATGGTGAAACTGTGTTTCTGCTAAAATTACAAAAATTAGCAGGGCACAGTGGCAGACACCTGTAATCCCAGCTACTTGGGAGACTTAGGGAGGAGAATTTCTTGAACTAGGGAGGTGGAGGCTGCAGTGAGCCGAGATCATGCCATTGTACTCCAGCCTGGCAACAGAGCAAGACTTGCTCTCAAAAAAAAAAAAAAAAAAAAAAAAAAAAAAAACAGATGGTTTGAACCCCGGAGGCAGAGGCTGCAGTGAGCCGAGATTGCACCACTGCACTCCAGCCTGAACAACAGACGGGGAACCTCACGTATCTTACAACCGTGCTGCTGAACAGCCGTACTTTCTGGACGGCGCGCATGCTTTATACTTATTACTGTTCTTATATACGTCTTATTTTCTGATTGGAGGGGCATTAACAGAAAGCATGGTTGTGGACCCTGAAGAGTTTCGGGAGCTCCTGACACTCGGCTTAGGATGCATGGTGGGGAAGTTGGCCCTGGGTCAACCCGAAGTTTGAAGGACAAGGCCCCCATGGTGGCAATAGCCTTCTTTCTCTTCCAGTAGGGGTAAGTACCTCTAGGGAGCACCTCCAGCCCGTGCTGTCTGTTGGAAATAGATGCTCGGTGCTGCGAAGAAGAATCAGCACTGAGACAAAGGATCTTTCAGCAATGCAATTTTTACTTCCTGGACTGCAGGAAGGGGACCCTTGCTAGCCATCTTGCCACGAGAGTACAGAGAATAAAGGAAAACATGCAGATTTGGGGTTTTACCATGGGTGATAGAGTGAGACTCTGTCTCAAGAAAAAAAAAGAATATAGGAAAGTTATGGTTTATTAGAAACTATTAAATTCTAGGCTGGTGCAGTGGCTCATGCCTGTAATCCCAGCACTTTGGGAGACAGCGGGGAGCAGATTACCTGAGGTCAGGAGTTCGAGACCAGCCTGGCCAACATGGTGAAATCCCATCTCTACTGAAAATATAAAAATCAGCTGTGCGTGCTGGTGCATGCTGCAATCCCAGCTACCCAGGAGGCTGAGAGAGGAGAATCACTTGAACCCTGGAGGTGGAGGTGGCAGTGAGCTGAGGTTGCGCCACTGCACTCCAGCCTGGGCAACAGAGCGAGACTCGGTCTCAAAAAACAAACAAAGAAAAACTATTCCATTACAGAGGTGTAATATGTGGTGTTTGTTTTAAACTCCGCCTGTATAGGGGTCTGTCTGATCTATGTAAAGATAGGATACGGCCCATGCAGGTAAGCTGACGGGGTGACATTCATTCCTTTGTTGATTTACAAAGAGCCACCCTTTGCATTTTCGTGGCCGAGCACGTCAAAGCATGACTGTAATTATCTTTAAAAGCACACATGGTCAGGCGATATGGTGATATCCAGACATTCTGCTGTCTTCTGTGTACCTGTTTGTCTTGGAAGGCATTATCAAGCCGTTTCTTCAGTCGTAAACATCTCACGACCACAGGCCGTGGCTGGCAAGGATTGTGACTTCCTGGTTTTTAAAATGGACTTGATTAAAATGGTGTCGCTGCGGCTCTCCGAGGCTCCTGCTTCTAAACATAGCTGGGGCTATGATCTGTGTGGAGTCCTGGATGCCAGGTCTGGGGGGTCCTCTGGGGGACCGGGTGTGGGACTGGCAGGGTTGTGGTGCGGTGAAGGTCTGGGTGTGTCCTTGCGGGTCATAGTGTGAGTCTGGGTGGGAGGATCCATGAAGAATTCCAACAGGAGTCTGGGTGGGGGGTCCATATGGGGTTTCAGCCTTGGCCCTTGTAAGGGTCTGGGTGAGGGGTCCGTGTGGGGGTTTCAGCCTGTCCCTGGTAAGAGTCTGGGTGGGGGGTCCGTGTGGGGTTTCAGCCTTGGCCCTTGTAAGGGTCTGGGTAGGGGGTCCGTGTGGAGGTTTCAACCTGTCCTGGTAAGAGTCTGGGTCGGGGGGTCCATGTGGGTTTCAGCCTTGGCCCTTGTAAGGGTCTGGGTAGGGGGTCCGTGTGGAGGTTTCAGCCTGTCCCTGGTAAGAGTCTCGGTGGGGGGGTCCATGTGGGTTTCAGCCTTGGCCCTTGTAAGGGTCTGGGTAGAGGGTCCGTGTGGAGGTTTCAGCCTGTCCCTGGTAAGAGTCTCGGTGGGGGGTCCATGTGGGGTTTCAGCCTGTCCCTAATAAGAGTCTGGGTGGGGGGGGGTCCATGTGGGGTTTCAGCCTTGGCCCTTGTAAGGGTCTGGGTGAGGGGTCCGTGTGGGGTTTTTAGCCTGTCCCTGGTAAATCTGGGTGGGGGGGCCTTCTGGGGTTCAGCCTGTCCCTGGTAAGGGTCTGGGTGGGGGTTCTGTGGTGCTCTGGGGTTCCCTGAGGGAGTCTCGGTAAGTCTGTGGTCGTCTGCAGTTCCCATCCAAGGTCTGAGTACAGGTCTGCTGTCCCAGTAGGGATCAGGGTGGCGAAGGGGGTTGTTCGTGGTCCCTGAGGTGGTCTGGAGTTCTCTGCAGGGGCCGGAGTGGGGGTCTGCGGTCCCTGCAGGATTGCGGGACGCAGGGCAGTGTAGGGATGGGTTTGGTGGGTGGGGTCTGTAGTCTCAGTAGGAACTGGGGTGTGCGATGCGTGGTCCTTGCAGTTGTCCAGAGTCCTCTGTGGGAGTCCTGCCCCACAGTCCTGGTGTGGGTCTGGGTGGGGATGCATGATTCTGGCTGAGATCCAGCTGGGGGAGTGCAGTGCCCGTAGTGGTCCTGGTCCCCTGTGGGCTCTGGGTGGGGGATCTTGGTCCCACAGTAGAGGTCCTGGCTGGGGTCTGAATGAGGTTCCATGGTCTTGGCTAGGGTGTGGGGCCTTGGGGAAGTGGTCCTAGCTGGAGTCTGTAGGCCTGGGTGGGGGTGGGTGGGTTCTTGGCTGGGGTCTGTGGTCCTGGAGGGTGTCCTGGCTGGGGATCTGTGGTCCTGGTGGGGGGTTGTCCTGGCTGGGGTCTGTGGTCCTGGGGGGATCCTGGCTGGGGTCTGTGGTCCTGGGGGGTCCTGCCTGGGGTCTGTGGTCCTGTGGGGTCCTATCTGGGATCTGTGGTCCTGGAGGGATCCTGGCTGGGGTCTGTGATCTTGGGGGGTCCTGGCTGGGGTCTATGGTCCTGTGGGGTCCTATTTGGGATCTGTGGTCCTGTGGGGTCCTATTTGGGATCTGTGGTCCTGGGGGGTCCTGGTTGGGGTCTGTGGTCCTGTGGGGTCCTATTTGGGATCTGTGGTCCTGTGGGGTCCTATTTGGGATCTGTGGTCCTGTGGGGTCCTATTTGGGATCTGTGGTCCTGGGGGGTCCTGGTTGGGGTCTGTGGTCCTGTGGGGTCCTATTTGGGATCTGTGGTCCTGTGGGGTCCTATTTGGGATCTGTGGTCCTGGGGGGTCCTATTGGGATCTGTGGTCCTGGGGGGTCCTATTTGGGATCTGTGGTCCTGTGGGGTCCTGGTTGGGGTCTGTGGTCCTGTGGGGTCCTATTTGGGATCTGTGGTCCTGGGGGGTCCTATTTGGGATCTGTGGTCCTGGGGGGTCCTATTTGGGATCTGTGGTCCTGTGGGGTCCTGGTTGGGGTCTGTGGTCCTGGGGGGTCCTATTTGGGATCTGTGGTCCTGGGGGGTCCTGGTTGGGATCTGTGATCTTGGGGGGTCCTGGTTGGGGTCTGTGGTCCTGTGGGGTCCTATTTGGGATCTGTGGTCCTGTGGGGTCCTATCTGGGATCTGTGGTCCTGGAGGGACCCTGGCTGGGGTCTGTGATCTTGGGAGGTCCTGGTTGGGGTCTGTGGTCCTGTGGGGTTCTATCTGGGATCTGTGGTCCTGGAGGGACCCTGGCTGGGGTTTGTGGTCTTCGGGGGTCCTGGGGGATCCTATCTGGGATCTGTGGTCTTGGGGGCATCCTGCCTGGGGTCTGGGGTCCTGGGTGGTCCTATTAGGGATCGATGGTCCTGGGGGGGTCCTGGTTGGGGTCTGTGCTCCTGTAGGGAGGTCCTGGCTGAGGTCTGTGATCCTGGACCGGTCCTGGCTGGGGTGTGTGGTCCTGGGGGAGTCCTGCCTGGGGTCTGTGGTCCTGGGTGGTCCTATCAGAGATTTACGGTCCTGGGGGGTCCTGGCTGGGGTCTGTGGTCCTCCTGTAGGGAGGTCCTGGCTGAGGTCTGTGGTCCTGGATGGGTCCTGGCTGGGGCGTGTGGTCCTGGGGGGGATCCTGGCTGGGGTGTGTGGTCCTGGAAGATCCTGGCTGGGGTGTGTGGTCCTGCGGGGTCCTGGCTGGGGTGTGTGGTCCTGCGGGGTCCTGGCTGGAGTCTGTGGATCTAGGGGGGATTCCAGGCTGGGGTCGGTGTTCCGCGCTGAGTCCCCAGTCCTGCAGGCGTTCGGCGTGGCAGCGGGCCCGGGCAGGGGGTGGGGTGGGGGTCCCAGCAGGCCGGGGCGGGCCGGGGCGGTCCGGGGGCGGTCCGGGACGCGCGCATTTCCGCCGGCTGTCCGGGCGGGCGCAGAGTCCCGCGGGCGGCGCGGAAGCGGCGGCGGCGGCGGCGCTGGCGGGGCAGCCATGTCGCCATTGTCTGCGGCGCGGGCGGCCCTGCGGGTCTACGCGGCCGGCGCCGCCGTGATTCTGGAGCAGCTGCTGCGGCGCTGCCGCGGGGGCTTCCCGGAGCCAGGTCAGCGTGGCGGGGGTCGGGGCCCCGGAAACCCGGGGGGCGCGGGGCGGGGGTGCGGGGTCTCCGCGTGACCTTGGCCAGGCTGTGGCGCGGCCGCTCCAGTGGGGGCGCTCCCGGAAGTAGGGCCGGGCGGGGGTCGCAGGTCGGGGTCCGGGGTGGGGGGCGTGCGCGCCTGGGACCTTCCGGCCCCGCGCTTCCGGTTCCCGCTCCCCGGCTCCCCCCGCGCTCCCCGCGCCCGGCAGTTCCCTGCCCTTCCCTCCGCGAGCGCGTGGCCTTCCCGCCTGTCCCGGGCCGGGCTCTCACCGAGAAACCCCCGCGCGACCCCACCCCGTACCCCGACACCTCCTGGGCATGGCCGGGGCCTGAACGCCCCGCGCCCCACACCTCACTCGGCTTCGCCCGCCGCCCGGGGTCGGCCAGTGACCGCGCGCCCCTCAGGCCCAGGACGGGAGGAGGGGACGACCCGGGGACCTCCACCCCCACCCACCCCAGGGTAAGTGAGGACGGGCCTTTCACCCGAGGGGGTGGCTTCGCGGGCACTGGGGAGCCAGGGAGGTCTGTGGTGGAGGGGGTTAGCGCAGGCCCGTTAAGCGGCAACTTGGTTTGTGACTGCCTGTGTAAACATCTGTGAGTCATTCCAACTTTGCAGGACCCGTTCGCTGTCTCAACACATCAGTGAGGCCCTTACTGTGTTTTGTCTATGTAGATTATTCAGAGATTTACATGTTCAGAATTTATTTTTTTAAATAGAGAAAGGGTTTCACCATGTTGGCCAGGCTGGTCTTGAACTCCTGACCTCAGGTGATCCACCCGTCTCGGCCTCCCAAAGTGCTGGGATTACAGGCGTGAGCCACCGCGCCCAACCCAGAATTTATTAAAAAAAAAAATTTAAGTCAAGAGATCGAGACCATCCTGGTCAACATGGTGAAACCCCGTCTCTACTGAAAATACAAAAACTTAGCTGGACATGGTGGCACGCGCCTGTACTCCCAGCTACTCGGGAGGCTGAGGCAGAATTGCCTGAACCCAGGAGGTGGAGGTTGCGGTGAGCCGAGATCGCGCCGTTGCACTCCAGCCTGGGTAACAAGAGTGAAACTCCATCTCAAAACAAGTAGGAAGTATACATAAAACCTTGCTGTGTTGCTTAGGCTACTTTGGAACTCCTGGGCCCAAGCGGTCCTCTTGCCTTGGCCTCCGAAAGTGCCGGGATTACAGGTGTGAGCTACCACACCCATCTAATGTTTCAAAATTTTTTCTTGAGATAGAGTCTTGCTCTGCTGCCAAAGCTCGTCTGAACTTGTCAGCTGAAGCAATCCTCCTGCCTGGCTCTTCAAAGTGGTGGGATTACAGACTTGAGCCACCACGTCGAGCTGATGCTTTAAATTTTTTGTAGTGGTGGCGTCTCACCTTTTTGCCTGGGATGGTCTCGAACCCGTGTCCTCCAGCAATCCTCCAGCCTGGGCCTCCCAAACTGCTGGGATTACAGACAGGAGCCACTGTGCCCCGCCCATATTTCAGTTGACACCTAGAAACCTGTAAGCAATTATTTGTGAATTGGTATCAAGGGAATGATAATTCTATATTAGGTTAAATGACATTTTCTTTCAAAAATAACTGTTTTCCAAAACAGAGAGGTCAGGGGATAGTGTGGTGGAGGTGTACATTGTAGCGAGTGTCTTCAATGTCCTGCCTAAGAAGACAGCTGTGATTTCTGCCTGTGCCAGTAGAAGGTTTCATGGCAAGTCAGGAGGCCTCTGGGGGACTGGGGTTTAGCCAGGTGGAAGCGCATAGGTACCTTGTTGTGAAATGACTTTCGACTTCCACTATGTACCCACAGAGCGAACTCCTGGGGGTCCCAGGGCCACACTTTGAGAAGCGTGCCTGGAGTGGATTTATTTATTTATTTATAATTTATTTATTTAGAGGCCGAGTCTCGCTCTGTCACCCAGGCTGGAGTGCAGTGGCGCAACCTCTGCCTCCTGGGTTGTAGCGATTCTCGTGCCTCAGCCTCCCGAGTAGCTGGAACTAAAGGCGTATGCCACCGCGGCAGGCTGATTTTTGTATTTGTAGTAGAGCCAGGATTTCACCATATTGGCCAGACTGATCTTGAACTCCTGACCTCAAGTGATGCGCCTGCCTGGGCCTCCCTAAAGTGCTGGCGGTGAATGTTTTTAAATGAGGCTCACTTTCTCCCGCCTGTGGAGCTAGAGAAAAAGAGCTTTAAGTTTTGCATGAGCTAAGCCTTTGTTTTTCTGCAGGACTGGCCTTCAGTAACCCAGTTAGCATAATTAGAACTGCAGAGAAGGAGCATGAAGGAATTGTACTCAGGCCTGGGGAGGTCGGGAGAGCGTGTCTGTTTGAAGGAAGTAATCATTTGCAGGGTGAAGGGTTTACAGCGGGGGAGCAATTTTTCAGATTGTTTATCTGCACAGTTTTGCTTACAGAAAGGTCCCTTTTAACCTCCTTCGAGGTCTGCGCCTGCCCTGGCGAAGAGGCAGCATCACACTGAGAGTTCAGTTTGAACGCGCCAGGGCCCCTGTGGCAGCCCACCGGCTGCCCACCGCAATGCTGGCCTTTCAAAAGCCTGCTCTTTGTGCCTCGGAAAGGAGGGCTGCATGCTGCTGCTTTTCCCTCTATGTTTACTGATTAAACAGCTGTTAAAGCTGCTGGTGGGTGAGGTCACGTGGCTGCCAGGGGACTGTACCCCGGGAGCGTCGGAACAGAATGGCCTTCTCTAAAGATTAACTTTCTTAGCTTGCCCTGATCCTGCCGCTTCCTGTGCATGGATTAAAAATAATTTTCGATACTGGTGGAGGAATGGACTTTCCCTCTTGTCTGCGGGTGGCGGGCTTGCTAATCGGCATTTTCCATTTGCTTCTAAACTGGTCAGCCTTCGCTGCTGGGCAGGAAACGAACTTTGTCCAGCGCATTTCAGCTAAAGCTGTTTGAATACCCAAGAGGGCCAATTTCCCCAGCGCAGACTGGAAGCCATGGCAGTTTTTTCGTAGAATTTCCAAATGGAGTGTGTTCTTAGCTGTCTTATGACTTACGCTGTGTGAGAAGGAAGAAATTGCCGGTGGAATCCACTCCTGAATGGTGTTTTCTTAACAGCCCATTGTGGAAAAACCAGAGAATTACAATTAATCATTGAAACTGGTCATGCCTTTGCAAAGGGGGTTGAGAAGCAAATACAGAATTCCTCCAAGAGGGTCTATCTCTGTGTTTCTAAGAGTATCCACGTGGCCCATTCAGTAACATGTATCTGTCTCTTGGTGGGACTTTAAAATAGGTGATTTAATCAGTGTATTTAATATCCTAATATGGCCTGAAACCCGTTGAAAATGCTCGCATTGAGTAAAGCAAGTCTCTCCCTACCAGTATTAATCACAGGGTGACCTGTTTAGGAATGACGTTTTCTCTGCCGCGTCCATGCATTTTGAAAAGGAGAGAAAATTGTGGATGCTTGTTGTGAAGTCCAGTCCCAACACTGCACAGAATTTTTCTGAAAAGTCCTATAGTAAATAATAGGCCACAGAATATTCCTTCACGTTCTGGGTGGAAGATGGACTCGTAAATGCTGTACCACGGGAGTGAGTATTTACAGAAAGTATGCCAGCTGGCCCACTTCTAAAGCTATTTATAGAAGTCCTAGATTTCAAACTTTTTTTTTAACCTATAAAGGGAAAGTTACTTCTTGTTGGTCTTATGAATAGTGAACAGTGGCTACTAGGAATGAGGTGGAAGTAAACTCAGCAGTTTTCCAACTTCTTTTCTTTTCTTTTTTTTTGACACGGAGTTTCACTCTTGTTGCCCAGGCTGGAGTGCAGTGGCGCGATGTCGGCTCACCGCAACCTCCGCCTCCCGGGTTCAAGCGATTTTCCTGCTTCAGCCTCCTGAGTAGCTGGGACTACAGGCGCGCACCACAACGCGCGGCTCACTTTGTATTTTTAGTAGAGACGGGCTTTTACCGTGTTGGCCAGGCTTGTCTCGAACTCTGGACCTCAGGTGATCTGGCCGCCTCAGCCTCCCAAAGTGCTGGGGTGACAGGCGTGAGCCACCTCACCTGGCCTCCAATATCTTGATCATAGAATCCTTTTCAAAAACATGAGACGGCAGACAGTTTTTGTGGGTTATAATAGTCAATGTCATCCTGTGAAGACATTAAAAAAGAAATTTAAAAGATATTTAATACTTTATTTAAAAGTAATGGTAATAGGCTGATCACCTGTTACTACAAAAAAATGTATGTATGTATGTATTTTTTTTTTTTTTTTGAGATGGAGTTTCGCTCTCGTTACCCAGGCTGGAGTGCAATGGCGCGATCTCGGCTCACCGCAACCTCCGCCCCCTGGGTTCAGGCAATTCTCCTGCCTCAGCCTCCCGAGTAGCTGGGATTACAGGCACGCGCCACCGTGCCCAGCTAATTTTTTGTATTTTTAGTAGAGATGGGGTTTCACCATGTTGACCAGGATGGTCTCGATCTCTTGACCTCGTGATCCACCCACCTCGGCCTCCCAAAGTGCTGGGATTACAGGCTTGAGCCACCGCGCCCGGCCTTATATTATTTATATATTTTATTGTTATACAATATATATTTATATTTTTAGAATAATTTATGTTTTTATGTAAATACAAAATATGAATAAGTTATCTTTAATTTAGAGGTAAATTAAAACAATTGACGTTTTTCTGTGCGTATATATACATGTGTACATTTATGGGTTGTGTTGTGATGCTTTGCTGGATGTTCGCGTTGTGGAACATTAAATCAAGCTAACATCCATCACCTGCTATTTTTCTTTTGTGGGGACATTTAAAATGTCTTTCAGTCATTTTATGTTTTTTGTTTCCATTGGTTATTGGGGAACAGGCAGTGTTTGGTTACTAGTGAGTGTTTGGTGATTTGTGAGAGTTTGGTGCGCCCGTCAGCCGAGCAGTAAACACTGCACACAAGACATTGAAAATCTCTTGTAGCTATTTTGAAACATGTGATATGCTATTAAGTACAGCCGCCACGCTGTGCAGCGGGTCACTAAAACTTACTTCTGTTTAACAGGAACTTGGTACCCTTTGACTACATACTGTGAATTTTTAAAATAAAAAATGACTGTCATTTCCAAAGTAACAAGAGACTTAGGGAGAAGAGTGGCTGACTTTTAGGGCTCTGTCAGCCTCATGCACGAGGGGCCGGGAGGCAGCTGGCTCCTTCCTCTGCTCCTTCACGCTGGTCCCCTGTGACGTGGCGTTCTGGTGGGAGTCAGGTGAGGCACATCCGCTGGCCTCTTTCATGGATGTGCAGTTGGGAAGGTGAACTCACTGGCCCCCGAGAGCATTTTGGGCAGGGATCCCGGGGATGCTGGACTGTGGTTGAAGAATGAGGTGGTCAGAGACTGGTTTGCAGCAATACATTTCTTCACGGCCTCACGTGCACAGAAGCTCTGCGAGGGAGGAAGGGGGAAGGAGCGTCCTCACAGTCGGGGCCAGCTCCGCCAC